ATTATAAATATATAAATATCTTTCATACACACAAACGCACTCGATTGATACTAGTAGAAAATTGTCGGGTCCCTAAAATATCGAATCTCACTTCTGGTATATTTTTTTATGAAAATAAAAAATATTTGTGAATTCACAATTATATTTGAAAATAAAAGAAAATGTTATATATTCATAAAATAAAATTCCAAAGGAAACGCACTGTCATCAGGGGTCATCGTCATTAACGACTCAATAGAGATGACTCTCTGGCGACGTTTCCGAAGGAAGAGGAGTCTTAAATAAATACATCGTCTCCGGGACTACTGCTACCGACCGGTCCGAGGGACGATTAGCTCATAAAGATCACGATCGGAGATAAACGTAAAATTTGAGCGGCACGGAATAGCGTATACGAGCGCACTATTCCGTAATCTGTGTCTTAATTTCTGGCAGCTTTGAAAGCGGCCATCGTTGTCGGTGCGGCCCACAAGCCCACAATACCGGGCATTCACGCACGCGCGCTTGCGCTTGCGAGCGTACGTGTGTGAGATTAAAGGGCGCCGACACTACGTGTGCGTGAGAGAGAAACTTCCAACACTAATAATACCTACGAGAGGATGGAGACGTGCGGCGCGCGCACCGCCTTGAAGGCGACCCGTGGAAACTTGTCCACGTACAAGGTGTTCCAGAATCACCGAATGTCAAAAAAGGAAATTCGAGAGAACACTCGACTGCAAATACACTCTTTTTTATTAATTAATCGATTTTTATTAATTATAATCGAAAAATAACAGTGTCAGGTTTTTTGTTCAGAGAATTTCAGAAGATCAAAATTAATTTTTTTATGCGGGCTATTAATAATCCGGCAAACGTGAAATTAATATAAAAATTAATTGCAAGTACCTTATCGGAGTATGAGATATTTGATGAGAATAATTTAACTAAATGTTTAATATAATAATAATAAAGTGCATGAGATAATTTCCCTCTTTTAAGTTTTGTCTCAAAAAAGAGAATAGGAACTCTTAATTTGTGCATTGCTTGAGAAGATGCTGTGTTTCTAAGATACTCTGTATACAGTGTAAATCACGAATCTGGGTCGTCTCTCTTTCCTCGGGAAAAGATGAGACGAATAGAGTTTAATTCTATTTTACCTAGAAGTTCATCCCTCCTTGTGGCTGGAGCAAATGCGGTTTTTCTTCTTTTACGTAAAAACGTACACATTAACACACACGTATGTATTTGAAGCTTATTTATACACGAGAAGCTCAACATTTTTCTTTCTTTTACTCCAATATTTCCAAATACATTTTTGTCTTCTACAATAGAATGATTTACAACGATTCTGTCGTCAAGTCCTGATTGAAACGTTACGAATTTTTTTTTTTTGCCACTTCGGAAGGAAAAGGCAAGGAAAATGAGTCATTATCTAGCATTATTTGTGAGATCAGACCCGAGTACAGGTGCTGATCGATTTTATGAGCTTTTCCATAGTCCCGAATTCTTGTAAAACGCCGGGAAAGTTTCACGCGTCGTCAACGCGTGAAAAATTACAAAAAGACACCGACCGTCACGCTTTTCCTGAAATTACCTCGAGTTGCCGATCGGCAAAGGACATCCGATGAGGAGTGCGCCGGGCTCCGATGCGTCTATATAAGGGATCGGTCCGTCCCTTTTCATCCTTGCTGAAGGATGTAACGCCCACACGACCCGGCGTCGCTCGGACGTCTTTCATCTTCCGTCCATCGCGCTTGTCCTCTGTGTTATACCTGTGGCTTCCGTTATATACACGTATAAGCTTTGAATAACATTCAAGACTCTCAATTTTGTTACAAGATCGTTCGAAAGTCACATATCTCTCTTCCGTATTTCTCCCGAGGCATCTATACACATATTGAGGAGGCTACTTTTCCACGTGGAAATTTTTCAAGCTCTCTCTTCGGTTTGGATTTCCCTTTCGACAGTTTTTTTCAAAACATAATTCATTTTTCATATATAAAAATTAATTCTAAGAGATTCAAAAAATCTGGCATACGGAAAGGACATTTTTCAAGCTCTCTCTCTATCTCTCTTCGGTTTGAGTTTCCCTTTCGACAGTTTAAAAAAAAAAAGCTTCTCTTTATTTTTTACACTTGCAATTATTAGTCGCCAGAAACTTTTCTGAACTACTAATGAATTCTGATTATAAAAGTAAGGTATGGCATAGGGAAAGGAATCGTGAACGAGGTTCGAAATGTACATATATAAGCGAGAAAGAAGGTATATTCGCGCGATGATCAACATCTCTCGAAAGCTCATCGGTACCAAGTTCGACCTTTGAGTTTCCCTTTCGGATAGACATAACCGTGGAATTCCTCGGTCGATTAGAGCGCCGGTCCGGATCGAGTTTCTTGCCACGACACTTTCGAGCCGTACCTACCACAAGAACCTCTTGGTTTATCCCAGTACCGCATGAGTTACGTGCACGCGCATACCAAGTATCCTGCGGAATTCACGTGACTAAACAGAAATCGCAAAATATGTTAATTTGCTCTTTTTCCAAAACAATTGGTATCTTCGCAACGAATAAAACCAAAATATTAGCCATTAAAAAGCATCGTCTCATTTTGCGTTACCATTGCACTTTGCGCTTCTATTGTACGAGTATATTAGGATAATTGGTGGATGATAAGGTATAAAAGATCGCAACGAAAGTAGAGACGAAGTAGAGGCGAAAAGAGACCCGACAAAGAGACGAGGATAAGAGTGTTCGAGTGGTCGATCGGGCTCGTCTCTCTTTCTCGAGGAGAAACACTTGTGGAGGAGAAACGAGTCGATCTCTCGAGGGAGAGAGAGAAGCGATCACCGCCGCGCTTAACGAATTTATGTTACTTGTACTTTTAATGTTTTTTATGGCGCGACACGAGCTGCGCCGAGAGATAGCAGACAGCATAACAGGATCTTATGTCAACGACGGTGGTCTCCGCGCCGCGAGCTTGTAATATGTAGATACTGCCCAACCGCCGGCAGAAACCCCATAAGGCCCGCGGTGAGAGAGACCACTTACGGGAAAAAGAGGGGAACCGTCTTTGTCCCTCTCTTTCACCTTCCTCGTTTCTTTCTCCCGGGTGCGTGCGCGCCACCGCACGTGTGTGTACGTACATGTGGACGTTATATAGACGTCTCGAGAGCGACTCGTGGCGTCTCGACTTCCTTTTACTTCTTCTTCTTCTTCGTCCTTTCGGTTTCTTTCTCGAAACGGTCGGTGAAAATACCGGTGTACGCTCTCTCGCCAATATACAGGGTGTCTCGTGCAACGCCTAGACCTTCATATCGCTAGACGTTTTATTTATATTTTATTTGTATATTTTTTATGTCGAATAATTTTTAGGAAATTTATTCGAAATTATTTTTCAAGAAATTTTCATCGAAAATAACAGTATTATTTTTTATTTGGTAATTTTCAGAAAAATATTTCTTCATAATAGTAATCTGTCACTTTTTCCATCGCGCATATAGTTCTCTCTCGATTTTCTTTGCCCTATTTTAAATATACATATTTATGTGTACATATACATATTTTATACTCTATATATACATGCAGTACCCTTTATACTATAAAAAATATTTTTTTAACAGATGAGTCTTATTAAAATTAATAAAATTTTATTATAATATATTATAATAAAACTAATCTGTTAAAATAATTGTAAAATAGCGCGGTTTTGTTGGAGTATACGCGCGAGCTGCAGCATAGTAATCGCTTGATCTATGCATCTCTCGGAGGAAAGCTTCGGGGGGCAAAAGTCAGGCGGAAACGCAGCGCAGCGCAGCATCGCATCGGAGCGCGCGTAGCGCGGTGGGCCCCGCGTGTTGTTAGCGGGCCCCTTCGCGGCGCGCCATGTGGCGGACGTGGATTGTCCGCGCGTCTAGAATTACCCCCGGGGCCCGTGTAGCCGCAGGCCCGCGCCAAGAGAGTTAATTGGCTGGAAAACCTTGCTATCCGATACTCGACGCGGCTACCGCCCCGAGATACGTGGCCCCGCGTAATCCATATTTTCATCTGTCAGCCGTTGCGCGCGCGTATATATATATATATATATATATATATTGCGCCTCTCTCTTGAAAGATAACTGTACCTCGCGGTGTGCGAAAGGCGGCGCGTTAAACAGATGTGACGAGTAAGAGGCGACTTTTTAGACTGACGCGTATAATTTGATTTTTTTTTTTTTTTTTTTTTTTTTTTTATAATTTTATTCTTGTACGAATAATTAAAATTTTGGCAAAATTATTACAATACCATTGATTGTCATTGTTGTTTATCACAGATCAGTTGCCTGTTTATTATCGAACGAGAAAGATGAGACGAGGAAGAACCAGCTCTTTTCGCACAATCGACTTCTCTCTTTTCTTTTCTTTCTGGATTAGACATCTCTCTTCCTCCTCCCACCTCGAAAGATAGGTATTGTTGCGGGTGGTCCATGGTACATATTGTCAGAGCGGCCACCAGGTAGTGTGGCAGCGTTGCCGTTCGCAATGTTGCAAGCCTGGCTTTCCCTCTCTCTCTCTCTCTCTTCACCCTTTCATAAAGCCCGGCTTCTTGTATGATCACTTCTCTCTTCATCTTTTCTCCCTTTCTGTATTTCTTCTTTTTTTTCTTTTGATTTTATTAAGCAGCCGCAACCTCGCTCTAAAAGCTCCAACTATTCTCAATCTGCTTTCTCCCCTCTTTAGTGTTTTCGCCACTTGTCATTCTACAAATCTACCCGACGAACTTAAAAGCCTCAGTGCGCTTTTATACCCTCGCGTTTGCGTCTGTGACGGATGCGTTCGCTAATTTTTCCCAGAAACCAGCTGCATCAGCTGTCAGATAATTTCATCATTTCAAACTTATCTCGAAAGATGAATAATAAAAGTACGCTCCAGTTTCTTAAATAAATAGTTCGAACCTTTTGAGATTGTTCTCTGTAGTCGCATCGGTACCATATCATTTTTCCATGTACAACATCACGAGTCTCTGATCTTTTCTTTCTTTCAGGGGAAGGCGGAAGGGCAGAGGTCAGCGGTGTGGATCAGGGCGCGATTGCAGGATCAGCTAAGTCAGCTGGGTTACTTCCTGCAGAGGCATGCGGGAAAGGTGCTCTTCGTGGCTGTTCTCGCTCTGGCCACCTTCTGCGTCGCCCTGAAATCCGCGCAAGTCAACAGTAAGGTCGATCAGTTGTGGGTGCAGGGTAAGTGTGATTATATGCACTCTATTCTCTTCCTTCAAGGGTGCTCTTTAATGATCGTTACAATGTGTCACGATAAAAGCTCCATTCGCGCGTGTTGTGTTCCGTCGTTGAAGTGTATTTATAGGGGGATTAAGATAACGGGGATACAAAACATACAACGAAGAAATAAGAAACATTTTCCACGTCTTCGTATGCGGAGTTTTTATATTTTATTTTGTGTAATAAAAGTCTAGATTCTTTTCATCGCGCTAAAAATGAAACATTTCATCAAGAAAAATGTTTCTTCATCACAAAATACATTTGCTGATATTTCCGTAAACAAGTGATCCGATGGTCACGCGATTAAATTATTAGTTGTATATAAACTTGTCTGAAATGCGTCGATAAAATTTAGCAACCGGAAGGAAACGAATCGACGTGAGAAAATCGCATCGATTATTCCCATAGGGGACGCTCGATTTTGTCTCCCTTCATTTGCCAGAAGCGAGACCGTAAATTTTCACGGCGCGCGGCGTGGAAAACGGAGGGAGGAAGCAAGAAAGACAGAGAGAGAATAAATCGTCCGCGGGGGGGAGGGCAGAAAGGGGGGAGGGGGAAGCAAAAAAAAGAAAGATACGCGTTGTGCTGGCAAAAAGAGGGAAACGACTCGAGCGGAATCTTCCCCACCACGCGCTACATTAGTTGCACGCTGGGTGGCCCCTCTATATTTATCCATGGCCCGAACGTTAATTCGAACACCCGTTGCTAACTTATATGTGACAGCGCGAACGAGGGCGGTCGTGAGGAAAAGTCTCGGTTTTACTTCTATTCCATTTGCATAACGCAATAGCGTCTGATCGATCACAAATATAGTTCAACTCGAGGTCTTTCGGTGGGTCTTCCCGGCGAGAATTTTCTCGCGGAACTTACCCTGAAAATCATGGTAATCGTGGGGCAATATATGGTATTGGAAGAATTTTATTAAGTTTCATCGCAATAAAAATAATAGAACACATATTTTATATCTTATTTTGTGGTAGAAATATTAATCAGACAAACTCTTACACAATTCTTTCAATACTATATTGTCCCATGATTATCATGATTTTCAGGGTAAATTCTAAGAAATAATTCTTCGCCACTGGGAAACGGATTAAGAAAATCTCACATTTCATTGAGGATTTTTTGCAAAAAGATTAATTATATTTTATATAAATTATTTTATTTTCACATGTCACAGCACACATCTACTTTGAAGGAAAAAATTCGTTTCTAAAATGTTTATATACTAATGCAGCAAACTATATACAAATAATACATGCAGTAACGAGAGATTGATATAAGTAAACATTTAGCGCGTGAAATAAGATATATGTACGTCGATTAGTTTTGGAAGAATTGAGATGTGCTCTTTTATGCTCGAATTTCTCGTTAACGTACATTCGCGCCGCAAATTGACGGAACATTCCGTTCCGTCGGGGCTATAGAGAGAAGTTGATGTCACGGGTAACTGTATATAGAGATTCTTTCGTTGCGCTCGACTTGGCACGAAGAAACGCCAAGTCGTGTCCCGGTTTTCGATCGGAGGGAAGATATTACATTGGACCTCCTAGATCGTGTCGTCCGAGGACTAATACGTCCTCGAGCAACGTTCCACGTGACATTTCACCCTGTCAAACTTCACACCCGACACGAGTGTTTTTTAATACGTAATGTACCAAATTTCACAATTTTCCAACTTTTTTCTCAATTCCAGAAATTCCAAGAATTTTTAACGACGGATTTTCATGTAATATATTTTTGAAATTTCGTTGAAACCTGTTTATTAGGGAATTGATAAATTGGAGAGGAATTGATATACGTTGAATGATATTTTTTTTTATGACGGAATACTTTGACACTTTACGCGCCAAAATTTTGCGGCGATTCTCGTTTCTCGGAAGCACGTTTCGCGCGTAAAAGCACGATTCTTTCCATCTTTCACGAGCGTTGAACGATCGGTATGCGCCCGATCGGTTCCCGCAACTACGAAAGTCGCAACCCGATCGCCGTTGGCAATCACGGCGATAAACCCGCCGCTGTTAAGGATTTATAAGGATCGTTAAAGGAGGCGCGGAACGCGTTGGATTTGCGATCTTGGCCCGAGGCTCGAGATCTTCGTCTTTCGATTTTTTTTTCTTTCTTTTTTTTTTTTTTTGCGCCATTGTACGAATGTGCGGCTCAACAACCTTCGAGGAATTTATATTATTTTAATCATATTGCATAATACGATTTACGTGTACTGGTATATCATACACACTGTTACGTGACTTTTGCGTAAATATAACATAGACGTACACAGAGAGAATTTTCTCTTAGAATTTATCCTGAAAATCATGGTAATCGCGAAGCAAGTAAAAATATCCACCACAAATATCTACCGCAATAAGATATAAAATATGTTCGATTAATATTATTTTATTGTGATAAATATGAATCAAGGAAGCTCTTATAAAATTCTTCCAATACCATATATTGTTCCACGATTACCATGATTTTCAGGATCAATTTCAGCGCAAAATTATATTAATCTTTAATGAAATTAATTTTTAAATAATAACTTAAGGCTTATTTTTCTTTGAGAGGTATTTTAAGATCTAACATAGTATTTTTCCTTGAAAAGGATTGAATTAAATGAGAAAATATATTAACTATTTAAAATCACATCGCAAATCAATGATCAGCGATGAAATATAGAGATGCAATAATTGGTTGAGCGATAAAATAACGAAACGTTACGATAAATTCGCTAAAATTGGCGTCGAGAAAATAATGTTTGCAATTGAGGGAGCATCGGCGCCCGAGGGGTCAATCGTTCGATTATTTTCTTTCTGCGTACGGTAGCGATTTAAATCATCCCTTGATTGTACGGGTGGAAAGGGGGATGCAATCATCGTCATCGTACGCGCGCGGCTCGATCGTCCCTTCTGACAATGAGAAGACTACGCCCGCATGTTCCGACCATGAATACGACGACGCGAGTCACCTCACGGATATCCGGTATCGGATAGAGGCTCGCGCGCATACGTCGTATAGCCCCTGCCTTTGCTGGAGGTGCTGTATCCGTTTAACGTCGCCTTCGCGCCTCGCATAATTCTTCCACTACTTTTCTGCATCGGTATCTCGCTAAATAATCCCACAGACGTATTCTCTTTTCCCTCTCGCCAAGAATGTGCCTGATCCTTAGGGTCCCATGTTAAACTTTATTCGCATAGATAATATTAGACAAAAGAATTTATACCTATATGTCTCTTTTGCACATTTCATCTGAATTTTAGAAACTAAAATATTTCAGGTATTTTTTAGTACTCTCTAAAATGATTGTATTTAATTGTCACACGGAGAGAATTTTCTTTGAAAATTTATCCTGAAAATTATAGTAATTGCGGAACAATATATGGTATTGAAAGAATTTTTGGTAAAGGTTTCCTCTGATTAAATATTTATCACAATAGAAAATGTTTAATAATGTACATAGTAAAATTAATCGAACATATTTTATATCTTATTGTGATAGATATTAATATTTTTCATTGTGGTAAATATTAATCAGAGAAACTCATAAAATTCTTCCAATACCGTATTGTTCCACAGTTACCATAATTTTCAGGATAAATTTGAAGAGAAAATTTTCTCTGTCTATATGATGTATAAATATTTAGTAAGTTTGAATTGTATTATGAATTATTGGAAATTCGAAAAAATTTTCCAGAAATGATATGGAAAGGGAGAGTTCGTAATCGTAAAAGAACATTCGACGTCGAACACAAGTATGTCTGTGACACTTATCGTTAAGGGAGCCGAGCAACGAGATCGATGAATGCAACTGCAACATCCGGTGCTGCAAAGCGTCAAGTATCGGTTTTCAATCACCTGCTCACTCGTACCTATACCTATACGAGCACTTCGTTCCGTCAAATTCTTTGTGCTATTCTCGAGGTGAGAGAAACGGAGCGGTTTGAATTATTAATATTGCTGCGAAAAATATAATATCGTCTCTATAAAAAAAGATTGATTAGAACAAAAAATCATTTAAAAATATTTTGAAAATTAAAGAAAGTCGCGCGTACCGTTTTCTATTAGTATTAATTGTGTTGCAGCCTAAAAAATGTAATATTGGAAAAAATAAATGTGGGGCTGCGCGAAATATTTATTAAGAGTATTTCCAGAGAAACGAGAATATATATATAAATTGTTTGCCTTCAATAAACATAAAATCGCCGTTCGTTCGAGGAAAAAGATTCTTGCTTCGAATCGTGAAATCCGTGAATTCCACAATACACAAACGCGATTGCCGGAAGGTTAAGCAGAAACGTGAATGGCACACGCGCCAATATATCCGTTCTCTTCTTTTTCTCCACTCGGACAAAACTGCGTGTGGCGGGAAGCGTTTAGCATTCACAGAGAGGAGACTGGAAAAAGACGCGAATAGCTTATTTTATCTTTTATCTCGGATAAAAGAGCAACAATACGTACAGGACGTTTCAAGAAAAATTAATTTTCCCAAAATGTACAAAATTTTATTGTCATTTATTTCCGAAATATAGCGCTTTCTAAATCACGCAATGATCGAGAAACTAATCTGTTTCTTTTTTCTTCTTTCAAGGAATTAAAATTTTATTTCTTCTGCGATTAAAAATGAATTAATCCGTCTTCAATTTTGCGGATTATTATTTATACTTAATATCTATGTGTTTATTTAAAATTGCCATAGATGCAATTAAATACTTGGAAAGAAATATATAGATTATTTTTGTTTAATTAATGTACGCGCGAATAAATAATTTATGAAATATTAAGAGAGAAATGCAAAGTGATAAAAAAAATAAAAATAGAAACAAGTAAATGTTCCGTAATTATACGGTTCTTTCTCGACATTACCATCCATTACGTAATTAATTTTCTTTTACACAGTGTACATCTCTGTTATTTGTAAACTCGGTCTTATCGCACTACAGAAAATGTCTTGTAGCAACGCGGCT